CGCTCTTAGGGTGGAGGCCATCGCTCTTAGCGTTGGAGGCCATTGCTGCTGTGTTTGCTGCCAGGACTCAAGGATTCCCCTGGAAGGATCGGAGATTGGTTTAGACCGTGAGTCAGATGTGGATGGTTCGATAAAGGCTCCTAAGAGAAGGGCCTGGGGAGAGTGGTTTGTACCCGACTAGTAGGAGCCCCTAGTAGCAAGAATGCTCCTAGTAGCATTTTTGACGCAATTCAAACGTGAAGCTATGGAATCGTTCGAGACACATTGAGTGAATTGTTGGACATGTCGCCCAATCAGATGGTGAAGAAGTTCAGTATTGAGTTGTGAGGGAACAAAAATAATGTTCTTTTCGTCTTTTTTTAGACCAAGCCTTTTCTTCTCTAAGAAATGAGCCAAAACCCGAGAGGCTCTACCGCGCGTGGCCATAGATGGGACGGCCAAGGCACGATGCATGGCAACCATGACGCGCACAGCACGGATCATTGCACGGATCGCGCATAGGCCCAGAGTTGCAATCAATTCTCACGAAACTGTCACGCCATTCAGTTTCCACTGAGAGCCGCTCTGTGCTCGCGGAGCTTCATTTTGGTGCGCACAGCAGAGTTTCCATCGGTCAGCGATGGGATTGTTCATACTTTCAAGCTGATATACAAAACCAAGTGCAATCGGAAACATGTGAGGAATTTTTGGGTAACCTCCGACTAATTAAATGATTGGCTTGTTGCAGGGTTGGCAAATGCTGCTCAGAACATGGGAAGAACATTATCTTCCAAAAGGTTACTTCAAGGAAAACTGTGTTTGGAAAAAGGTGGCAACTGTAGTATATTGAAAGATTGAAACATCGTGTCGGTCGCCTGCTGCTTGGCAGTGCGCGAGAAAGACTGAGGATCAGGTGGCGAGAATCGGTGGGGTACATCCCCGTATTTGATAGGAAAGGAAACCATCTACAACTGCAAAAAACATTGTGGAAACATCTTTGAGGAGCTTTGACAGAAAAGGCTAGGGTAAAATACCCTGGGCGAACGGCTATCTCGTGGGTTCTCTGTGGCGTCAAACTGAGTTCTGATGTGTTGATGCGTTCGTAGCCGTGTGTTTTCGGTGCACTGAGACATGTGCAGTTTTCCATTTTGGGCGAACCAAAACAAGTGTTACTCTAGAAACTGTGCGGCACGGGTAGTGCAATCCATATCTGCATAGTATTTGAAGGCTTGTTTACCGCGGGCTACCTCCCAGTTTGTGAGAACTGTATATGTTGGAAGTTTTTGCTGTAGCCGTAGTAGGAGCTCCTCTGCAGTGAAAATCGCAGCCCGAAAGGGTGTGCTCTCCAGCGTAAGGGAACGGCACAGCACCGGCGAGCGCAGTTCCAAGAAACGGCGAGTGGCAAGCTGAGCCCCGGCAACCAAGCTGCGGAGCTTCATCCAAGCCTGAGGTGCCAGTTAGTGAGCAACCGTGGATCATGCCTCATCACGGCCAAAATTCATGTGGTGTACTGGGGAAAGGGAACTGGTATACCAGCTGTAGCGGTGTTGGGAGCCACTATGCCGTCCTATCATTCACACAGGAGAACCGCATAAGAAAGCTGAAATCAAATGAGAGATACTTAGATGAAAAACAATTGAAACACCAAGCTGTGAAGCGTGCAAAGCACACTTTGGTTTCTCAGAGTTTCTCATCCGGTTTTTTCCCCACCTGTCGGGTGAGGGTGGTTAGATTCTAAAAGAGGAACCCACAACTCATTTTCCTCCTCCTCCTCCTTCTCCTTCGCCTCGCCTCACAGCAGCAAGCGCCAGATCACAGTGGGCACTCTCGGACCCACAACACAACCGCAAACACAACCGCAACAATATACAGTAATTACCTGTGCGTATGGCATTTTGCGTGGCAGGTGGTCAGAGGTGACACTGAGCACCACTTTCTTTTTAGGTCACGGGGACAGAAGAGTAACGACCACCATAGGTGGGGAGGGTGAGGGGGTGGGAGGGGGGGCGGTGGGGTGGGTGGGTGGGGATCTAATGGCATGATTGGCCATTGGCCACATCATCACATCTTACATCTGTGCACAACCGACACACACACAGCTCTCTATGCTCTAATGTGGCCATTTGTCTGCCATCTGATGCTGGCCGGGGGGGGGTCAGTCGAAAGTATCCATTGTCCGGATACAAGGCAGCTCGCAGCGAGCGCAGGTGGCCTAGGCCAAAGTCATTTGCCAAGATTTGACCAAGTATTGAATTCTAAGCTGGCTTATGTCATTACGTGACCACAGCGGTCAAAGCTGCCAGCCATTTTGGCACGGCGTACGCGCCCGCAGCGGCCGAAGCTTGTTCAAGGTTCATTGGAACCGGTCAGAGCCTCAGAGTGTGATGAGTTCTTCCCCCCTGTTCCAGCTTAGCTGAAAATGACGCCTCCCCTCGGGAGGCGTTGCTCTGGGGTCACGAGTTTCCTGTTGGGTTGTCTTTACCTTTTGATTTTTCGCAGGGGGGATGCCCCACACCTGAAGAGAGGGCATCTAACAAAGAGGCTCTTCAGGCAGCGCTGATATATCAGCAAGGACGCTTGCTGACGTACCTGCATCAACTTTTAAGTTTGCGTAAAGGGCTAGTACCAGCGGCAGACAAGAGCGCACGACGACGTCCTGTCATCTCGATCTCGACTTGAGCTTTTGGCCCCTTCTCCTTTTGAAGACCTCCAGGATTCGGCGGTTCTTCCTTGCACTCTCAGGAAATGGTAACCTAGGCCGACGTGTGGCGCTTCATTCACATCAGCACGCATTTCTATAAGCGTGTGTGTGTGTGGGTGGGGTGGAAATCTAATGGAACGATTGGCCCATGACCACGTCATCACATCTTACGATAGCAACATGAACCCCAGGCAGCGCGCAAATGCACACAATGCATCACCAGCATCATGGGCGCGGTGTGTGTGTGCGTCATACTCTGTCCCAAAGAGTTTTATGAAAAACAGGGGGTCGCTGGGGACTCGTGCAGTCAGCGACCAACGAAGACGCTGCACGTTTCCAGTGATATGAGTCGAGGACGCTCGACTCACGTACCTGCGACAGCTTTGAACTTTTGAACACGCTGTCCACTTCCTTTGTTTTGCTTCCATGGTCGTTGTCACGATACACCCCTAAACAGTTCCTTCCGCTGCTTTCAGCCACTCGTGCGTTTCGGTCGCTGCGCAAACAATGTTCAACCTTTCAGTTCTGCCGATGTGCGCCATTCCGTTCCATCACTCCTTTTGACTTGGGAATTGATTGAGTTAACTGCAAACCAATTTTCGAAGTGTGTCCCGCTGCGCCGTCCCACTTGGGTGCACAGTGCGATTCCCGTCACTGGGGCGCTGTTTTCATGCCGGATTACCATTTCACTGAACTATGCCGTTTTCTGCACGCGTTGGATTATCTTAACGGACCTGTGGCTTCACTACTGTATTCTCAGCACTCCAAGCCGCCGGGCCTCACGGATTTACCCACTGAACTGTGTTCCACTTGCGCAACAGAACATGTTTTGGATTGCGATGTCCAAATCCTTTTCCACTTGCGATCGAACTTTTCCATGCACTCTCACTTCCGCACCCCCCCCACCTTGCACCCGAATTCATGTTTCTATCCGCTATCTATGGCAACAGAAGGAAATGGTACTCGACACACTTGCGCGTCGGTACCTTTCCTTCTGTTTCTCCTGTCCTACTCCTATCTACCCGGGCGGTTTAAGACGAATGTCCCGCTCGCTAACTAGTGCACCTAATTAAGATCTGCTAAATAGTCAGCAACTAATTTTTGTTGAAACCTTCTGTTGATCGGACCCAGCACTTCTTTCCGTTCCCTCAAGTCAAGGGCTAAGTATTCAGCAACTAGAGTGCTAGGTAGTCAGTAACTAGAAGGTGTTGTAACTAGTGGGCCTAGTCTCGGCCCGAGTCCTTACAGGGGTAGACTTAGACGGCGGAAGTCAGGCGGATGGTGGAACCCGTTTTGAATCCTCTGGTTTGGGGGACGCTGCTGCCTGAGCACGAAGGCAGCTGCGTCACTTTGGTTGTGGCCATGGATGAGCATGGCAGGTGGATCACTCTCGCCTCGAAGCAGCGAGTTGTTCTGGATCTGACGGCGCATGTGGGTGTTGCGCTTTCGATCCATGCCTGGATTCTCAGTAAGGTTACTAAGGCCGGAGTGGCTCATTGCGTTGCTGCAGATCGCTCAAGTCATTTTTGTCTTTCAAGCTTTTCGAAAAGCCCCCGATTTCATGTTGAACTTTGCTCAGGTTTAGGTGGAACCAGTTTGGGTTCAGTGGCCGCAGGGTTCCATCCCATGTGTGGAGTGGACTTCAAGCAGTTGGCTGTTGATGCCATGACCCGGAACAAACACCCTTCGCCAATTTTGGGTGACATCGGTGACTCGGCCACTTGGCTTGCTATCCAAAATCGCACTCAGGGGCATCTTTGTGGAGTCGTGGCAGGTTTTCCTTGCCAACCTTTTGCATCGATAGGATCAAAACTAGCTTTTCGTGACGCTCGGGCTGCAGTTTTTCTTAGAGTTCTTGATGTGACTTGCGGGCAAGAATGCTGAAATCATTCGTCTCCTCGATGAGTACTGCAAGATTCGTTCCTTTCATTGGACGTCTGTAGTCCTGAAACTGGAGCAGGCCTGGCCGTGTAGGAGAAAGAGATGGTGGGCTCTCCTCATTCCGACTGACGTTTCGCTTCCGCAGCTAGTTGATCTTCCGTTCATTCAGGTCAACCAATCGATAGCAGGTTTGCTCAAGGTTTGGCCCCGTTGGAGTGATCAGGTTGAGCATGCCTTAGCTTTGGATGATCAGGAAACTCATCTTTTAGAAGCACGGCACAGATGATAATCTCTTGGATTTTAACCATCATGCACCTACACTGCTGCACTCTTTGGGACATCAGGCTAGAGGTTGTTCCTGTGGCTGCAGAGGTCCACTGTCAGAGGCGCTTCTTGCTTCACAGGGCCTGCATAGGACGACCAGCATCGACTACGTCATTTGCATCCCAAACAATCCTCTTGGTCGGTCACCATTCCTGGCACCTTCGTGCATAGTGCTGCAGTGAGAGATGATCTTCCCCTCATTGGGCAAGTGGCAGCACCACTGGATGCTCAGCTTTTTGAGGCAGGTCACTGATGCACCGGACTTTGATCAGCACGGCATGATCTTTGAGTTCTTGAACATCCACAACTTGTCACATGCTGAGCGTTGGCCCATTGTTGGCGTGTATGAGAAGCGAGGTATCACTGTCAATGTTCATCAGGAGCCCAGCTTTCAGGTTGCCATTGACACGCCCTGCACTGTTGGCCAACTTCGTCTTGCTTGCTGCAAGCTGGGCGTTGATGTGGGAACAAGATCGCCTCCTAGCAAATGATGCACTGCTTCGGACAGCCAGCATTCATTTTCATCCCCCTCTTGTGGGATGTGGGGAGCAGTTTGATCTGGAGAAGCAAGGCATTCCTTGTTGTTTCCAAAGACAGGGACTCGATGACCTAACGATGTTGCAGCAAGCCAGGAGATTGATGCAGAAGTCTGGACTTGCCGATACTCAACTCTGGAGCCCGAGGCACATAACCAGCTTGTTGGAGACGTGGCCCGCTACTGCCAGTGATGACATCAAGAAGTACCTCGTTCATGAGCAGAACTTTGGATTCCTTTGGATTGATGGGCACTGGATTGTTTTTCACATTTCCATTGAAGGTGAAACCACAGTTGCTCGCTTCTTTGATGGGTTCCAGGCCGAGCTCCCGGCTGACACTGACATTTTGGCTGCACGTTTCTCAAGAGCTGCAGGTACCTCCAAACCCATTGTCAAGGCTGAACACTGTGTGCCTCAAACACATGGATCTCACTGTGGAGCAGTTGCACTACTCAACCTTGGTGTAATCCTCAAGCTTTGGCAACAGGCCGATGAAGCTACAGCTGAGTTGTGGCATCAGATGCTTTTGTCCAAGCAGCTACGGCAAGGGCGGGGAAAAGATGAAGCAGCAATCACCACGCTTGCTTGACATCCTTCATTCCAAGGGTGTACCAGCCGATCAGTTACAGTCACGTGCGCAGGCTGCCATTCGCAAACTCACTTTGCCTGTCGCTGAGAAGGCTCTAGCTGCCAAAGATCCGTGGAAGGCATTGAAGGAAGCTGGATCTCTCTTGTCCAAGCCGTTTCAATTTGTGCAGTATTCTGAGCTTCAAGCTCACATTCAGAGTCGCGCCACAGAGGGGCTGATGGAAAGGTCGCCAACAAGAAAAAGCTCAAGAAGATTCCTCCATCCTTGTCTCTTGAGGTTGATGGAACTCATCCCAGGCAGCTTTGTGTGGATCCAGCCGGTGATGACTGTCCTGCGCTCACCGTCCAAGAGCTTGTCAGTGATGCCAAAGGGGTTGCCATCGCGACGCATGAAATGGCCAAGGACCTCCGATCA